TATAATATACTTATCAAATAATAATAAATAAATGTATGTACCTGATTAAATTTATTATTATTTATGTAAAATAAGTAATTCACTTTTAGTTATAGTTAGTTAGAGTTTTTTTTATGGTGCTCAGTTATAAGGACTGTATACATCTAACACAGTAATTATAAAATTTACATACAAAAATATAAGGGGTACTTGAAAAACAACTAATGGGCTAATGGGGTACATCAACAAAAAAGGTTGCGAACCACTGGGATAACTGATTATGTATGAAAAAATATATTAACTTATCCCTGTTGAAAATTTTCTCCATTGCATGTCGCTTCATGTTAGATTTTCTTCAATATAAAGCCTAATGAAAATTTTTTAAATAATAATCATGGCTACTGTATCATTAAAAATTATTTCTTTATTTTGCACAAACAAAATAAATATATTGCAAAATATATATATAAAAAAAATATACATACATACATATATATATATTTTGGATGTTAATCTAGTATCAAAAACATTCTGATTCAGCATGACACACAGTCTTCAGAAAAACATCACAAAACTCTTTCTTTTTCTTGGGTTTACCTGGAGATGTCAGCCGCTTGGGCTATATTCTCCAACAAGCTGTAGCAAAACACACCACTCACGATGAGGAAAAAAGCCTCGTTCAAATACTGGCGTGTCCTTAAGTACCCTCTCAATGTGTGTTGTACTAAATCAGAACATTTTTGATACTAGATATAACTTCCAAAATATAATTTTTTTTTGTTTTTATATTTTTCAATATATTTATTTTGTTTGTGCAAAATAAAGAAATAATTTTTAACAATACAATATGGTCATGCCAGTGCTGCCAGCTAAAACATGCACACCAACAAAAATAATATTGGAGTAGCCCAAGACAGCCAAATATTGCAGTGCCACAGCACTAGTGGAAATTTGAATTTGCCAACTGGAATGCGTTCATTTCGGTTGATCAGTATTTGGATAATCGATGCTCTATGTATATTCACCAAAGAAAAAATAAAAGTTACCTCACTCTTTTATTAACAATAACACCCACAGCATGTGGCGTAACATTAAATACTCTGCCAGTTTTCCCATGATAAAATTTATGAGGCATTCCTTTCTGGAAAGCTCCATTTCCCTGAAAAAATTAATATCTAATTTTATTCTCTGATTAATTATAATCTATGTTTCATATGCATAATCAACATAATAATTTTTACCTTTATATCAACAATGTCACCTCTTTTATATACTTTTAGAAATGTAGATAATGGTTCAACACCATGTTTTCTAAACTTTCTAGAAAATAGGTATCTGGTACCTCTTCTGTAGCCTTTTGTATTTACCATTATTTATAGCTCTGTAAAGAAATTAAAAAGAGTTTATAGAAATCAACAATATATATTTTTTGTGAAATCTGATGAGTACAAATTTTTAATTTTAAAAGTTAAAAATATGACTGAATAATACTGAAAATGTTTTAAATTTTTTCAGTGAAAATGATCCTGATATAGAAAGAAGTGTTATTGTTAAGAAATCAGTGTTAAATGCAATAAATCCATATAAGCAATTGTTAAGTAAAAGAGAAAAAAAGCATAAACAACCAATTTTAGATTCATATTTTAAAATGTGGTGATTTTATACTTGTTTGGTATTTAATACTGACCTTTTATTTAATAAAGCTTTTCTTTTTTCAAAAAAGTTCCTTTATTTTCTTTACGTACAAATGTATCCCCATTAAGGTCATAGTATTTTTACCTCTGAGAATGAAGTTTCACTTAAAAGTAAATTTGTGGAATGCACCCTATTCATTAATCGAGGCATGCTGTACTATTCACCAAAACTTTATTGTTTTTTTAAATAGATGCGTCATGCAATAACCTTTATTTCACTGTTTTGAAATTAGTGCATTTGTATCATTATTCTTATAAACTTATAATTGTATAATTTTGTAATAAATACACCCATGCCCATAATTTAAGGAATTACTGTATGTGGTGGTTATGGCTNATGGCAAGGACCCTGCTCTCTATTGGCCTGCTATCACTACGCTTTGCCAATCGCGTTAATTCTTGACAGTTGTAGCAGACAGACAAGAGCATCATGGCAGTATGCGATAAATGATATCAAATGTGAATAACAATGAAATGACCTACACATGTAAATAACAGAAAAAGAACAGAGAAGGACTGCAAAATGAAAATGTGAAAATAAATATGAAATTGAGTTGATAACATAAGCAAACAAGTTGAAGCAGCTTATTGACGCGAAATTTGCAGCCGTCAGTGCCAAGCGATTGTTGTCATAGACTTCGGAAAGCTAAATGCTTGTAACGAAAGTCACTTAGCGTGCACGGGTGAAAACCTGGGACCGTTCCGGCTACTGAGCTGTCTCGAATCTGTGAAATCATAACTGTGACACATACCAACGTCCTATCTGTCTCTTTTCTCCATTATCACCAGGCTATGAGTCATGTAGTTATAAAATGGAAAAACTACGATGAAAAAGTGACAAATTGAAAGTATCGTGAGCACATATTATTATGTACGCATAGGCATACGTGGACTATAGAGATGGAGGAAAGAAAGGAAAGAGCAAAGACGAGTGCCTAAAAAGGATAGGCAGGGTCAGACCCTCACATGTGCGCGACGATTCTTGAACGAATACGTGTATACGTGTGCTGATCTTTGTAATTATAAATTGTGAATACATGTGACTAATATTATTTTCTTTTTTATTTTGTGCATGTTATAAGTTATAAATAAATATAAACAAACAACACTAACCTGACAACATTAAATCTAAATACCAAAATGATNTTCTGGCCACTTTAGCAGACAATGCAATTTGTGTAACTAAAGCCAAGAAAATTTTGAATGACATTTATGTTCAGAACAAGTTGGTGTACATCAAGTGTTATTTCACATTCATTGCAGATACTATTACTGCTCTTGAAAGTAGTGGAAAACCTATATATGAACAAATTGATCTCCTCAATTTGTTCATATATAGATTTTCCACTTTGTGATACACCAGACACTGCTGCAAAAAAAGTGAAGAAAGAGTGCTTCAAAAGTGACTTAGATTGAAGTGCTTGTTTGTTGTGGCTGATATTTTGGCAGGAAAGAGCAAAACTGAAAGTGAATTCCCAGTTCCTCTTCTTCCATGGTTGAAATACTGTCCATTATCTTCAGATGTGGAATGCTTTTTCTCTGCATATAAATTAATTCTCAGTGACAAACATTGCAACTTTTCTATTGAAAATTTGGAAAAAGTGCTTATAATATATTATGAAGCTAACTATGGTAAACAGAGCAAATAAAAAATGTAAAGACAATTGTTTGTCTACTTTTGTGTTTGCATCATTCTAAATACGTGCATTTTTGTTTGGAATACAAATGTTAAATAAAAAATTCATCGACCTGATAAGTACATTAATTGTTCATTGTGCAAATTTTGACCGCCTATTTTTTGCTTATAAAGCCTAAACGATGCAATTTAAGAGCTTATTTTAAGTGCCTAAAATGCCATTTTTAAGGGCCTAGATGTGTGCTGTCTAGTTATAACCCTGCAACCAAGGGTGTTCTATACACAATCTATGGGTTTAAGTCTGGTGAATAGAATGGCCAGTCCATACATCTTATATTCTTGATTTCCAGGTATTCCTAAACCAAGCCAGACCTGTGAAGGCAAGCATTACTAATGAACCCAGGATCAAGTGCACCTCTAAGAAGCTGCAGGATGACATCCCTATAAATCTGGCCTATTACAGTACACATTCAAAAACATACAGTACGTTTCTATATTCAACAGTTGACTCAATAGTGAATTTTCTGTTGAGTCCCTCTGTTGAATGATCTGACATCACATTTTGCAGAAAAAAGAAACGCTTTCGTTGAGAGGTCGCTTTTCAAGATGGCTGACTTAAGTAACCAGAAGGTGGCGATTGTGGCTGTTTTGCTAAATAATTAAAGTAACTCGCTTAACCATTATTCGAATAAATCCTTTTATTCAAATGAACCCATATCTGTATCATTTTCTTGTTTACTGGGTTTTTCTTTAATTATTTTAATTACTTTCTTGAATACATCATTAGAAAGACTTAAAGGGCCAAATATCGGTCATAATCAATTTTGAACAAATGAAAATAAATCTTAATATTTCAATATTGACCAAATTATCCAACATAATCGTGCAATCATATGTTTTATCATATACAGATCGTTCATTAATCTGTCCGCTATTACAGCATCCACAGTAGCGAATGGATTTGTATAAAAGGAATTTACTTTTTCATGGAAGCCGCCATGTTAGTTTGTTGAATATTCAACTGGTTTTCCGGTTGTTGAGACCATTGAGCTCAACGGTGAACTCAACGTTCCATTTAGAAATGTCGTTCTCTCACCGTTGAATATAGAAATGTACGGATACAGTGGCATAAGAGACCTTAACACCATACCACCCCAAAGATTATAATGTGTCCCTGAAGCTTACCAGATGTATACTTGTCAATTACAGTGGTACCACTGTAATTTTCGGATACTCAGGATACGAACGCCCCATCATACGAGATTTTCAGGATACGACATGAAATTTGAACATATTTTTGCTGCATGATACAAACAAAAACTCACCATACGATGTTACATTAGTTTGCAGCATCACTTTTTTATTCACTTCTGTTCATTGGTCTCAGTCCACATGTTTGCTTCATCATGGAAGGATCTTGCTCGATAAAGGAAATCTTGAGGTATTATCAGAAAGCGACTGATTTTATTGAAAAGAATCATCCCGAAAAGGTTCCCACTGCTGTATTGCTGCTCAGAGTAATGACATTTGCCTAAGTCATTTTAGAAACATTTTTAAAAAGTAAGCAAAGCCAAACCTTTTTGGATAGATATTTTACCAAGCGACCTCTATCCAGTGAAAGTGCTGGTGGAAGTGAAGGAAAAAAAGCAAAAAGCANTCATAATCAATTTTGAACAAATGAAAATAAATCTTAATATTTCAATATTGACCAAATTATCCAACATAATCGTGCAATCATATGTTTTATCATATACAGATCGTTCATTAATCTGTCCGCTATTACAGCATCCACAGTAGCGAATGAATTTCTATAAGAGGAATTTACTTTTTCATGGAAGCCGCCATGTTAGTTTGTTGAATATTCAACTGGTTTTCCGGTTGTTGAGACCATTGAGCTCAACGGTGAACTCAACGTTCCATTTAGAAATGTCGTTCTCTCACCGTTGAATATAGAAATGTACGGATACAGTGGCATAAGAGACCTTAACACCATACCACCCCAAAGATTATAATGTGTCCCTGAAGCTTACCAGATGTATACTTGTCAATTACAGTGGTACCACTGTAATTTTCGGATACTCAGGATACGAACGCCCCATCATACGAAATTTTCAGGATACGACATGAAATTCGAACATATTTTTGCTCCACGATACAAAAACTCACCATACGATGTTACATTAGTTCGCAGCATCATTTTTTATTCACTTCTGTTCATTGGTCTCAGTCCGCGTGTTTGCTTCATCGTGGAAGGATCTTGCTCGATAAAGGAAATCTTGAGGTATTATCAGAAAGCGACTGATTTTATTGAAAAGAAACATCCCGAAAAGGTTCACACTGGCCGTATTGCTGCTCNGCCGGAAGTGCTATTGCGTCGTAAGGTGTTTTCCTGAATGAACTGATACGGGATACATTGATTGGTGCTATGGATTCGGATGCCATTTATTGGACAATTAAGTTTGATAACTTGACTCGTGGGTACCTAAACGTTTAGTATTTTAATATTAATTTAATGCAAATGTATACATACCCAATAATATTAAACAGAAAAAATAAATATATTTAATAAAAATCTTTGTTTTAACAAATGTACAACGTCTTGGCTCAGTAAATATGTCAACACTGAAATGAAAATCAGTCTAGCATAGGGAAAATCGGGGAATTACACCTTGAAACAGCGAATTGCACAGTGGCATTATTGTGAATCGGCGTAAATTGAACCGGCGTAAACTGAGGGCTACCAGTATTTGGAGATATTAGAAGAATAAAACAATTTTATTTTTTTAAATATTTTGCAGAATGCTTGTTTTTTTAAATTAATAGCAAATTCGGAAGAAAATACAATAAATTTTCTCTTTAATTAATGAAATTTAAATGTTGTCATTGTATAACTAGCATTTCATTATGTAATTTTTTTTTTTTTATTTAATTTTAAGGAAAGCTTTTCAACAATTATTTTTGAAGCTGGTTGAAGATTCAAATGTTTATTTGACTCTCATGGAGCCTTTAGTCAAATGTTACACTAAACTTCATCTCAATCCTGAAATATGTCTTTGCAATATAGCTGAAATGATTTCCGATATTCAACAACCAATTATGGTGATTACTAAAGAGTGTTCCCCAAGAACTAAAAAAGACACTGAAATGAAGGTATTTCAAACTTTTTAAAAAAGAATTATTTAAATTTTGTAATGAAACATATTTCAAATATCTTTAGTTTTGATATAGTCATTACATTTATTTTTATTATAAAGTAATAAATTACAAACCTTTTTTTAATCCAGCGTATAATAATTTGGAAAAAGTAACACATGATTGTAGAATGGTCATTTGAAAATATAATGGTAATGTGCAATAGGCTAACCTCTTAAAGCCTTAATTACATGGCTTTGGAAATGTCTTCATTATGAACAATAACTCATCAGAACATGCACTACCCTTATTTTTTCAAATGATCATTCTAGAATTCCAACCTGAAAATGGCTGTTTAAAATAGCTGAAAATGTTGTTTTTTTTCTGAATAATTATATGCTGGATTAAGAAAAGATTTGTCGTTTATTTATTTATGCTAAGTCCAGTTTGCTTCCTGTGATTTTGGACAGATTTATCTTTTATTATATGAAAGCTGTTGTTTATTTATAGTCAAATTAATTAAACCTAACTGTGAACTGATTTGGAGTATATGTTCAAGGCATTTATGACATAATTTAAATACAAATGATTGAATATGCTTCTATAATTTTTATAATTTGTCTATTAGTATTTTTCAAATATTATAACACAAACTTCTGTATTATTTACAGTCGACCCCCCTATAAGATCATAGATATGTTCCATTTTTTAGGAATCCGATTTCTTACGAGTCGTTCCAATCACAGCCTGACACATGTGAAGTTTACGGACTACTGCTGTTTGAAAGGTTTTCTTCCATAAAATTAACCGATTCCTAGACTAATTCCACTCAACATTTCCAAAACACGTATATTTTTTTGGGAATAATCCGTATAAACTATGCTATAAACAAAAAAATGTAGGATTACTTATCGAGTGTGCATTGTTCGACGTCGCCATTGCTCAAGCTTGTTTTCGTCGCAGAGCAGCGCACCCAACAGCGGCCACGTTTTCTAATAAATTATTTTTCTGCGAAAACTTCGTTGAACTTTGGAGACATCATTAATATAAATAATTTTTATGGCCGTTGAATAAGAAATGTTTCTTTCACAAGAAATGTATAAAATTAGTGCTGTATTAGACTGATGGTACCTAATTTACATACTGTACAGACGATAGTAAACTCAACTTACTCGCCTAAACTCTCTGTAGCGTGGCGCTGGACGGAGGAAAGTAGTTCAGCTGCCCGATGACGTTTTACCGAATTATAGGAGTTGTTTTTACCATGTTTGTATGGATAATGTCGCAATTTTTTCGCCATCATATAGGAATCCGAACTATAGGAACCCGTGTTATATGGGGGGGGTCAACTGTATATACAGTGGGTGATCGGTTAATCAACATAATCCATTCCAAGACCATGTTCGATATCCAAATTGTTCATTAACCAATTATCAATTTACCATAGATTTTTGTGAGAATTTGATTAATTTGTTCTGGAGACCCCAAAAAATAAATAAAAACTTATATACTTTCTTACTATGTTTATTTACATGTAATAACAAAATAAAAGAAATCTCTAAATTTTTTCATGGATGGCACATCTTTGTTTCTCGGATACACTTTTTGTTATCATCTTTATCAGCTTGAGTCTTTTTCATTATATCTTTCTTTGTTTATAGAATATTTTATATGGATTATTCCCAAAAAATTGTGTTTTGGAAATAATCGAGTCAAATTAGTCTAAAATCGATTAATTTTATGGAAGAAAGCCTCTCAAACTGCTGTACCCCCTAAACTGCACAAGTGCTTAGTTTTGTGCACTCTCATATAAAAAGTGACCTTTAAAACCAAGAGTCTGAATGACCCTTCTCATGCATTAAATGGGTATCAATGAAAATTTTTACAATAAAAAAACAGAGAATGTAGATATATCCTTTTTGTTGTAAAGTAAATGAAATTTTTGAGGAATATAAAAATTATTGGGCTTAGATATATTTTAGTAATTTATTATAGACAAAAGAACACATTCACAGATCAAAAATTCCTGTTAAATCAAAAATCTAACGACTTAAACAAAAAGAATGATTTAAGAATGTAAACTGAAGTTACTTAATGCAACTGGTTTTTCAAAGAAAATTAACTCGTTAATAAATAACTAGATTTTTGTTTTAAGATTAATGTGGATAAAAAGCGATTCAAATCAGACCACGTGGCAAATTAGGCCTAGGTCTATTCGTAATAAAATATACCATATACTCTTGTTTCTATAATTTACTCTTTGTATGTACCTAAACCTTAGTGAGAAATATATTAATTTTACATTTAAACATTTATTTACAAATTACAATTTCGGCAAAACTTACGACTTCAGTTCTCAAAAGACAAGATGGCACCAAGCAACACCAAAAGAATGAAACTTGGCAAGTTTAAGCGCCCTCTACAAATTTTGTCTTATTAATTTTCCAAATAAATAAAAAATAAATAAATAAATAAACGTATAAAAATAAAATAAATTTAATTTGAACTTATTCTATATATATATA